TTCTTCACACACAGTAAACGACAATACCGCTAGTCGGGAAATAATAATAGATACTACAAATAATAATAATATAGAAAACTTGTGAAATGACAGTTAAGACATTTTTATTGACATTGCTTTGTGAAATTGTTCAATACTTTTTCATATCATGGAACTTTGTTCTCAAAATAGCCAGTAGACCTCACTAACTCTATCAGAAAAATGAATTCTAACTGAAGCCCTTTTTGAAGTTAAGAAGTGAAAGTCAACATGTCTAGCTAACTCCCTATTAGAGGAACAGTTAATATTCCTAACTAACTCCCTATTAGAGGAAAAAGTGAATATTCCTAACTAACTCCCTATTAGAGGAAAAGATTAATATTCCTAACTAACTCCCTATTAGAGGAAAAAGTGAATAGTCCTAACTAACTCCCTATTAGAGGAAAAGGTTAATATTCCTAACTAACTCCCTATCCAAAGCGCAAGGTTTTATAATAACTTAGGCATACTTATGATTTTGTGAATGTAACGAAATACAAGCACTACACAGTATATTTATACATAAACACAAGAAGTGAAGACGTTTTCCAAGTATTAGCTTCTTCTGGAACTCTTCATGATATATGTTGCAACTGTCTTCATTTCCTCTATTTATATTGACACATTCACAATGATACTGTAACTATTTAATATATGTATTATAACACCATGTAAATAGAGCGCTCAAATATCACAAAAACAAAAACAATTTTACTAAGTAAATGTAAACCATGTAAGTGATATCTAAATCTCTGATTACCAAAGAAAGGAAAACGAAAATAACATGGAAATAAAACATCTTGATCTTTGAATGGTAGCCATGATGCTTTAGAGAGAAGGTAACAATGGTGAAAACAGGACTGTAATATAAATATGTCTGTCTATATATAATCACTGGATATAGGAGTAAGGAAGCAATTAGCATTATATTTAGTAAGTTCATACTGCACCATGACGTCATCTCGTCCCCATAGGTATAATCAGTGGTACTTTAGACAGTCTCACAGAGAATCAGTTCAAAGTGGCTTCTGGTATATATAACAAGAGATATTAAAAAGACAATAAATGTAGAAAGCTGCAATATTTGTTCTAACACGAGTAGTATAACTTTATCAGTAGAGACACTAATTAACTCTGTTATAGAACATCCAGTGTGACCTTAATTAACCTTATTAGTACAGACACTAATTAGCTCTGTTATAAAACGTCTATTGTGATCTTTATTTTGTACATCTTAACACATTTTCTCTGACAAACTTTTAACTATCCTGAAATTTTGTTGATAAATAGTATCCTTTTCAACTTAATGAAGATGGAAAACTTGTGAAAGAGTACATGTAGTCAGGTAGTAATAAGCCCGACAGAAGAGCTAGACCAGGCCCGAGGTTACCGAGACTACAGGTACATCAGCACACACACAAACTTAATACAACTTAGTGTGGAAGTTTGTTGGAATTTTATTTTTACTGTAACTATTAATCAACAAACAATATAGGATTCTACTGTGTTAATATAACCAATACTTTAAGTCTTTATTAGTAAATGTCAATATAACCAATACTTTTAGTCTTTATTAGTAAATCTTAATATAACCAATACTTTAGGTCTTTATTAGTAAATGTTAATATCACCAATCCTTTAAGTCTTTATTAGTTAATGTTAATATAACCAATACTTTAAGCCTTTATTAGTAAATGTTAATATTACCAATACTTTAAGTCTTTATCAGTAAATGTTAATATAAACAATACTTTAAGTCTTTATCAGTAAATGTTAATATAAACAATACTTTAAGTCTTTATTAGTAAATCTTAATATAACCAATACTTTTAGTCTTTATTAGTAAATCTTAATATAACCAATACTTTGAGTCTTTATTAGTAAATGTTAGTATAACCAATACTTTAAATCTTTATTAGTAAATGTTAATATAACCAATACTTTAAGTCTTTATTAGTAAATGGAGTTGTGCTTTGATCATGACACACTCACACTAAAGTGGGTAGGGGAGCTTCATGGCAAAATATATAAACATCAATGTATGAATTATATTCAGATATTCTCATAAAATCAGAGAAAAATAAAAACAGAGTGAATAACAATGTCCCTCCAGATAAAAACAGTTGGTCTCTGTCAATTCAGAACTCAGGGTTGATATAATTCACCCTCACAAAAATATATCATTTTATACATCATTTTATGTACGATTTACATATGACTAGAGTTTGTAGTAACATTATTTATGGAATTGTGACTTTTAGTAACATAATTTACATAATTTTTACTTGTAGTAACATGATTTCTAAAATTCCTGTAGTTACACAATTTATACAATTACTACAACTAGAAAACATAATTTATTAAATTATTACCAGTAATGATATAAATTATGTAACTATTACTTATACATGTTGTAACATAATTCATAAAGTTATTACTATAGTAACATAATTTATCAAATTATTACTAGTAATAATATAAATTATGTAACTATTACATGTACATGTTGTAACATAATTCATAAAGTTATTACTAATAGTAACATAATTTATAAGTTACTAATATTTTTGTACAAAGCATGTATATCTCAATGATAAAATTAAACCATCTCTGAAGTAACTGATCAATGTTTAATTACATATATACTACTTTGCTGTAAGTTCATAAGGTTGCACATGTTCAAACAAACAAAACATATTACCTGGGTTTACACATGTGTTCCTACTTACAGGTGTCAATTTTACCAAGTACCTGTTTGAACAAAATATTTCAACTTCTATAACTTATCCTATAAAATTTCGTTTTTTCTCCCTAAAAAAATAATTCGTAACTTCTTTAAAACATTTCTTTGAAAGTTAAAATACATGGATTGGAATACCATAAAACATGAAATAAATAAAATACAACCTTGGATAAAAACATGACTAAGTTACTCACATCTGATATATACAATATTGAGCAATAGTGATATACATCTTACAGGAATCTCTGCTGACACAGCAGTTTGATTTATTGGTCCCAGTTCATAACTTTTAGACTGAAAGGCAACTATACAGACAGATGAGTCAGTATCATCACTAAGAGGGGGGAGAGATAGGGTTATCTTTGAAGGGATGAGGGTGGGCTGGGGTGGGGTGTTGGTACAGAGCATATGTTTTTGAAGAATGTGAAGGATAGACGATCAGTGGGGTTGGGATGAGGCTATCAGATGTTGAATGGGTTATCAGTGTGACGGAATGGTGATAGCCAAGGCATGGGAAGGGATTACCAGTGGGGATGGGATGGGTTATCAGTAGAGCTGGGATAGGGTAATCAGAGGGATAGGGTTATTCATTGGAGGGAGATGGGCTACCAGTGTGGGTGGGGTTAAATTGAGGGTGGGATTGGTTATCAGTGGCGCACAGAGAGAGTCCCAGTGGGGTTTTGATGGGGTTATCATTGGGGCTGGGAGAGGTTCCCAGTGGGGGTTGTATGGGGTTATCATTGGGGCTGGGGGAGGGTCCCAGTGGGGTTTTGATGGGGTTATCATTGGGGCTGGGAGAGGGTCCCAGTGGGGTTTGTATGGGGTTATCATTGGGGCTGGGGAAGAGTCCCAGTGAGGTTTGGATGGGGTTATCATTGGGCTGGGAGAGGGTCCCAGTGGGGTTTTGATGGGGGTATCATTGGGGCTGGGAGAGAGTCCCACTGGGGTTTGGATTGGTTTATTAGTGGGGCTTGGAGAGGGTCCCAGTGGGGTTTGGATGGGGTTATCATTGGGGCTGGGGGAGAGTCCCACTGGGGTTTGGATTGGGTTATTAGTGGGGCTGGGAGAGGGTCCCAGTGGGGTTTGGATGGGGTTATCATTGGGGCTGGGCGAGGGTCCCAGTGGGGTTTCGATGGGTTATCTTTGGGGCTGGGGGAGGGTCCCAGTGGGGTCTGGATGGCGTTATCATTGGGGCTGGGGAAGGGTCTCAGTGAGGTTTGGATGGGGTTATCATTGGGCTGGGAGAGGGTCCCAGTGGGGTTTTGATGGGGGTATCATTGGGGCTGGGAGAGGGTCCCAGTGGGGTTTGGATGGGGTTATCATTGGGGCTGGGAGAGGGTCCCAGTGGGGTTTCGATGGGTTATCATTGGGGCTGGGGGAGGGTCCCAGTGGGGTTCGGATGGGGTGTAGTTGCACTGTACCAGTGACGCTGGAGGTACAATGATTCCACTATATTGAAACAGATAATGCTTATCACAATAACTAGTATAAATATATCAAGGACAGAGAGACATGAACAAGGAAAGTTTGTGGCGTTATCACAATATTAGATTGTCACACAGAACAATGTCTCTGAAAACCACAGGATCGCACCGACAGTGGCAGTGGCAGGGATGGTCCAACAATCGCTGCACATAGAGACCGTGATGGTCGAATAACAGTCGTACCCTGACAGTGACATGGAAGGTTGAACAACAGTTGTACTCTGACAGTGATGTGGAAGGTTGAACAACAGTCGTACTCTGACAGTGATGTGGGTGGTTGAATACACAGCTGCATACATACAGTGACATGGAGGGTTGAACAACAGTCGTACTCTGACAATGACTTGGAAGGTTGAACAACAGTCGTACTCTGACAGTGACATGGAGGGTTGAACAACAGTCATACTCTGACAGTGACTTGGAAGGTTGAACAACAGTCGTACTCTGACAATGACATGGAAGGTTGAACAACAGTTGTACTCTGACAGTGACATGGAGGGTTGAACAACAGTCGTACTCTGACAGTGACATGGAAGGTTGAACAACAGTCATACTCTGACAATGACATGGAAGGTTGAACAACAGTCATACTCTGACAGTGATGTGGAAGGTTGAACAACAGTCGTACTCTGACAATGACATGGAGGGTTGAGCAACAGTCGTACTCTAACAATGACATGGAAGGGTTATACACATCAGCACACACTGACTTTAGTTGTACATACTCTGACAATGGCATGGAAGGTTGAACACCAGTCGTACTCTGACAATGCCATGGAAGGTTGAACACCAGTCGTACTCTGACAGTGACATGGAAGGTTGAACAACAGTCGTACTCTGACAATGACTTGGAAGGTTGAACAACAGTCATACTCTGACAGTGACATGGAGGGTTGAACAACAGTCGTACTCTGACAATGACATGGAAGGTTTATACACATCAGCACACACTGACCGGGATCACATATTACACAGCCACACCCTGGCCGGGATCACATATTACACAGCCACACCCTGGCAGTCGTATCAGTGACTGAATAGTTGTACACGGTGACCTGGACTGCACTACAGCCATATACTGACAGGGACAAGGATGATTGAATACACAACTACTGTCTTGTGTGTATCAGGACAACTCAAAACCAGTGTTGGAATTGATAGCATATCGGAGCTTCTCCTTAAGTGTGCTGCGCTTCTGGTAATTTGGGAGTTTCAGGAGGTTGAAGCAAGTGGAAGAGGTTGGTAGGCGCCCCACAGGGTCTCGTCTCTTGATGTTGAAGAAACCCTTGAGGACACTACCCACTGTGTCTCCTGTGTCCTGTTAACATATAAAGTCAAATGACAGAAGTTGTTCAAATATCAAATCCTAACAGAATTACTTCCCCCTACTGAAAGTCTCCTTGAGGCTTTTTCTGGACAGGGTTAGTTATAAAACAACTTGAAATGGAGTTCATTGACCTGGTTGTCATTAATGTTGATAAACCTGGGGTACCTTTACAGCAATAATTACTGAACTTGAGTATATTTGTATGGTAGTTATTGACCCGACACATCTGACATAATTACTGAACATTGTTTCACATGAGATAGATATTTACCTGGTCGTCGCTGACCTCCACACACCTGACGGAGAAAGGCGGCTCTAGGTGGGCAAACCCTAGCAGCGGTGGTTTGGAGCAACTCGTCACAAACTACAGGAACAACAGGTTAATAAGTGGTAAGTGAAACTTGTAATATTGACATTTTTTTTAAAAGTTGTAAAATCACAATTTTTTGTCATCATACACTGAATGTACAATGTTCAATTTACACTGAAATCAGGTATCTACCTGTAGCTGTCAATAATAAAACAGCAGCTATTATCATTATGTTTAATAAAGCACAGCTCCTGGCCTGATAATGGACAGTTACAGGTAACAATTTTTTTTAAGCCACACCAAGAAAGTCTACTAACAATGAATGGTCTTGTACATTGCACATGTACATATACCCTGGTGACATGAACATATACCCTGGTGACATATACATATACCCTGGTGACATGTACATATACCCTGGTGACATGTACATATACCCTGGTGTCATGTACATATACCCTGGTGACATGTACATATACCCTGGTGAATACAAATGAATATAATCCAGAAAATGTCTCTAAAATCATCTACATTTCCAAAATAGAGACATTTTACTTGTACCTGTTCAATAAATTTACAGTACACATTCTTATATTAATGACTATAACTTAAGATACAGAAATACACCACTAAGCATTGTAAACACTGTTACAGTGTACCAGGGCATTGTGTAATAGGTAATAAAATTGGATACTGTGATTTAAATAGGAGGAAAGTCTTAAAGTGTCAAGTCTCTGAGAAAGAATGGACATTTTCAACCCTTTTCTTTTCTCTTTTTATATAAAGTTGAAAACCTACCTTTAGGAACAGTCCTTTCTCTTAGGAGGAGGATCAAACCTACCTTGAGGAACAGTCCTCTCTCTGAGGAGGAGGAGGATCAAACCTACCTTGAGGAACAGTCCTCTCTCTGAGGAGGAGGATCAAACCTACCTTGAGGAACATTCCTCTCTCTAAGGAGGAGGATCAAACCTACCATGAGGAATAGTCCTCTCTCTGAGGAGGAGGATCAAACCTACAATGAGGAACATTCCTCTCTCTGAGGAGGAGGATCAAACCTACCTTGGGAACAGTCCTCTCTCTGAGGAGTAGGATCAAACCTACCTTGAGGAACAGCCCTCTCTCTGAGGAGGAGGATCAGACCCACCTTGAGGAACAGTCCTCTCTCGGAGGAGGAGGAGCAAACCTACCGTGAGGAACAGTCCTCTCTCTGAGTAGGAGGAGGATCAAACCTACATTGAGGAACATTCCTCTCTCTGAGAAGGAGGATCAAACCTACCTTGAGCAACAGTCCTCTCTCTGAGGAGGAGTATCAAACCTACCTTGAGGAACAGTCCGCGCTCTGAGGAGGAGGATCAAACCTACCTTGAGGAACATTCCTCTCTCTGAGGAGGAGGATCTAACCTTCCTTGAAGAACAGTCCTCTCTCTGAGGAGGGGGAGGATCCAACCTACCTTGAGGAACAGTCCTATCTCTAAGGAGGAGGATCAAACCTACAATGAGGAACATTCCTCTCTCGGAGGAGGAGGAGCAAACCTACCTTGAGGAACAGTCATCTCTCTGAGGAGGAGGATCAAACTACCTTGAGGAACAGTCCTCTCTCTGGGGAGGAGGAGGATCCAACCTACCTTGAGGAACAGTCCTATCTCTAAGGAGGAGGATCAAACCTACAATTAGGAACATTCCTCTCTCTGAGGAGGAGGATCCAACCTACCTTGAGGAACAGTCCTCTCTCTGAGGAGGAGGAGGATCCAACCTACCTTGAGGAACAGTCCTCTCTCTGAGGAGGAGGAGCAAACCTACCTTGAGGAACAGTCCTCTCTCTGAGGAGGAGGATCAAACCTTCCTTGAAGAACAGTCCTCTCTCTGAGGAGGATCAAACCTACCTTGAGGAACAGTCCTCTCTCTGAGGAGGAGTATCAAACCTACCTTGAGGAACAGTCCTCTATCTGAGGAGGAGGACCAAACCTACCTTGAGGAACAGTCCTCTATCTGAGGAGGAGGACCAAACCTACCTTGAGGAACAGTCCTCTATATGAGGAGGAGGATCAAACCTACCTTGAGGAACAGTCCTCTCTCTGAGGAGGAGGATCAAACCTACCTTGAAGAACAGTCCTCTCTCTGAGGAGGATCAAACCTACCTTGAGGAACAGTCCTCTATCTGAGGAGGAGGATCAAACCTACCTTGAGGAACAGTCCTCTCTCTGAGGAGGAGGATCAAACCTACCTTGAGGAACAGTCCTCTCTCTGAGGAGGAGGATCAAACCTACCTTGAGGAACAGTCCTCTCTCTGAGGAGGAGGATCAAACCTACCTTGAGGAACAGTCCTCTCTCTGAGGAGGAGGATCAAACCTACCTTGAGGAACAGTCCTCTCTCTGAGGAGGAGGATCAAACCTACCTTGAGGAACAGTCCTCTCTCTGAGGAGGAGGATCAAACCTACCTTGAGGAACAGTCCTCTCTCTGAGGAGGAGGATCAAACCTACCTTGAGGAACAGTCCTCTCTCTGAGGAGGAGGATCAAACCTACCTTGAGGAACAGTCCTCTCTCTGAGGAGGAGGATCAAACCTACCTTGAGGAACAGTCCTCTCTCTGAGGAGGAGGATCAAACCTACCTTGAGGAACAGTCCTCTCTCTGAGGAGGAGGATCAAACCTACCTTGAGGAACAGTCCTCTCTCTGAGGAGGAGGATCAAACCTACCTTGAGGAACAGTCCTCTCTCTGAGGAGGAGGATCAAACCTACCTTGAGGAACAGTCCTCTCTCTGAGGAGGAGGATCAAACCTACCTTGAGGAACAGTCCTCTCTCTGAGGAGGAGGATCAAACCTACCTTGAGGAACAGTCCTCTCTCTGAGGAGGAGGATCAAACCTACCTTGAGGAACAGTCCTCTCTCTGAGGAGGAGGATCAAACCTACCTTGAGGAACAGTCCTCTCTCTGAGGAGGAGGATCAAACCTACCTTGAGGAACAGTCCTCTCTCTGAGGAGGAGGATCAAACCTACCTTGAGGAACAGTCCTCTCTCTGAGGAGGATCTAACCTACCTTGAGGAACAGTCCTCTCTCTGAGGAGGATCTAACCTACCTTGAGGAACAGTCCTCTCTCTGAGGCGGAGAAATCCTTATCGAGTACATCCCACAACCAGTTGATCACCTTGTGGTTGTTATGGTAACCACCATAATACTGTGTGTGTCGCCTACAAAATTCAAAGATTTTAATACTGCGTATGTTTTATTCAATATTGAACCACTTTTTTAATGAAAACCATACACTTGTTTTTATGACAAAGTCCAATTGGTCTTATAGAAAACAAATAGGTTCGACTATGAAGTGATATTCAAATAGTACCACTAGTTCAAGATTGTTGAAATAAAAGATTAACAAAATTTACATCAAGATTAAATATCCATACAAGATGCCAAAGCAGTCTGTATTCCTCATTTTGTATTTCATGCTGTTGGCAAAATTTTATCAAACTTATAACAAATTTGACTCATGTGACCCTGATTGTGGGTCAAGACAGTTTTTTGAAACAATTGTTAGCCCTCTAATTCACCAGGCAATCATCAGATATCAATGATGCTTCACCTTGGGCTTACATAGAAGAAGAATCCTTGTGACCTTGAATGTTGTTCAAGGACATTTATTTGAAAATAATCAACAGGATAATTTATCTGCAGAAGTGAATATTTTCACACATTTGACTTCATGTGACCTTGAATATGGTTCAAGGTCAATTGTTTGAAAATCCTAAGAGCCCTTTTACCCTGTTAACTACAGGCCAAATTATAAAACCATAGGCGTCTTTGTTTATTGGGAGTTGCTTGAAGATTTGAAAAATTTAACCTCTGTGACCTTGAATGCCATAAAGTAATTCATTTGAACAAACTTGACAATCCCTTACTCAAACAATCTTCAGGCTAATCATAATAAATTGGTATTTATGGTTCTTAAAAAGAAAAATGGATGCTTGATGGTAAAATGATGGATATTGCAACATCACATAAGCTCACAGACATGTGAGCTAGAAATAATGATTTTATATTTCCGCTTTTTACCTCAGGTCTCCGATGTCAAGGTCAGCATTATCACCAGATATCAACTTCTGAAGTTCTGGGGCAGAAAACATCTTCAGCCAATCAGAATTGATGACAGTCTTAAAGCCACGTATAAAAGCCATGGACTGTTCCTTGATTTGGCGGTACATACGGAAGTGTGCCATCAGATGGACATATCGTATCCTGACAAACAAAACAGTAATTTAACGAACAGATCCACAAGATGTGGAGGCATCTACAATATATAGGATCATTTATCGTAAATCAACAAATCAATATATCATGATTAAGACTGACGAATGCATCATAAATGCATTGTCACCAGTTAAACGGGCAGATACTCTAATAATTGTGTATGGTAATTATCCTCCTTAACCCTGCTCTAACAAGGGCGGTCTTATAGGAGGACTCAAGGTCAAGGTCATTCCATAGCAGGGGAGTATCTCACAGCAATGAATTATCTAGTGAATTATTATTGACTTGGCTGGAGGGAATTTCCCATGAACTCAATTAGTAGAGCAATTTATTGGTATTAATCAATCAGTACCATGCATGATTCCTAGAGTAGGCACTTAGGGAAGTGACCTTGGTTACATATACATTTCCATCAAAACATGGGAGATCTGACCATGAAAACAAGCATCATCATTAATTATTTAGGGCAGTTAAACAAAAAAAATGTTTTCACCTATTTGATACTCCAAATTTAAATACTTATCAAAAGTAAGTTATTTACAATATTTTTTAGCCAACAGATGTCCTAAATTCTGAAAAGAAAGAGGACAAAACTTCCTTATAATTGTGATCACGTGAACAATTAAAGTTGAAACAGAATCTTAGATACAAGTTAACATAAATCGTTTTATATCACTACCTAACACTTGTACCTACTTGTTTTCGTTAGTGACAGTGATGGCCTTGCCCCCTGGCACCAGTTCATGAGTCTCTATCCTCCCCATACAGTCCTCGTCGCAGGAGAAGGTCAGATCAAGGTCAACGATGTCACCATCGTAATGCTGCCATGGAAATACAGATAGTCCACGATAACAGACGAGTTGAAGCAAGTTCTATTGTTATGTATTTCTTTTCTAACCGAAAAAAAAAATACAATAGAAAAAGGATGAAGTGGAAAAGTAGAAAATCCTTCTGTATGAGGAGAACTTGTTAGTGGACCCCCAGCCTAGGACTTCCTAACACTGGTTGGCTCCCGAACCCTGCCAAGTGACTCCTTACAAGTCCCAACATATTTCTAAACAAATTGTTTAAGTGAATACTATGATATAATTTTCAATATAAACCTAATACCTTTGTGTAACAGAGACTTTTGGCAAGTTCTGGATCAAGTGAGGGTAGTTCATCCAGTGAACTGTAGGTGGCACTCTGCTGATGGCCAAGTATCTGTGTCAGGAAAAACGGCGCAAAAGGGACCTCCACAACGATACCCTGAAAAATGTACATGTATATCATTTCTATCGTTCAAAGAAGACAAACTTTTAATTGTTCAAAGGATAGTAATACAAAGTTTGTTAAATTCAATGAATCTGTAATTGTCCTAGATGGCCAGTACAGTGGCTGTCACTGATTAACATGGTAGACTTTGTCTCTCAGATCAGTTGTACTATGTAATTGTTGAGATCTTTATCCTATGACAATCTTAAGGGGACAGTTACACCCATAGTATACATCATCTAGGCCAACATCTTGCTTAATACAAACTCAACTAGAATAGTTATACCTACCTCATACACAGCCTTGGCCAACATCTTGCCGACAAACTCAAACAATGTGAGGTGGTTCTCTTGTATATGTGAAGTAGAGGAAGGGTATAGCTTCTGTTCACTTGTTACCTGTCAGTGGGAAATGTAACACACGTCAGACATACAGGTGTTAACAGGCCCTACTGTAATATTTCTATGCAGACATAGAGGTATTTAACAGGCCCTACTGTAATATTGCTATGCAGACATACAGATATTTAACATGCCCTACTGTGATATTTAACAGGCCCTACTGTAATATTGCTATGCAGACATACAGATATTTAACAGACCCTACTGTAATATTTCTATGCAGACATACAGGTATTTAACAGGCCCTACTGTAATATTGCTATGCAGACATACAGATATTTAACATGCCCTACTGTGATATTTAACAGGCCCTACTGTAATATTGCTATGCAGACATACAGATATTTAACAGACCCTACTGTAATATTTCTATGCAGACACACAGATATTTAACAGGCCCTACTGTTATATTTCTATGCAGACATACAGATATTTAACAGACCCTACTGTAATATTTCTATGCAGACCTACAGATATTTAACAGGCCCTACTGTTATATTTCTATGCAGACATACAGATATTTAACATGCCCTACTGTGATATTTAACAGGCCATACTGTAATATTTCTATGCAGACATAGTGGTATTTAACAGGCCCTACTGTAATATTTCGATGCAGACATACAGATATTTAACAGACCCTACTGTAATATTTCTATGCAGACATACAGATATTTAACAGGCCCTACTGTAATATTTCTATCAAACTTTACCTACTCACAAAATACATGTCCCATGTGAATACGTGAATATGTGACCTCTAGTTTGGGAGCTTCATGTTTCTAACTTTTTAACTAGAAAGTGCATGGGAGCTTCATTTTTCTAACTTTTTAACTAGAGAGTGCATGGGAGCTTCATTTTTCTTACTTTTTAACTAGAAAGTGCATGGGAGCTTCATGTTTCTAACTTTTTAACTAGAAAGTGCATAAGAACAAACCGTTTGAGTTAAAATGTTAAGTATCCTGTCCACCATCCTCAGGTGCAGAATTTGATCACTAACTGAATATCTGAGACTAATATTTTTTCAATAGTAGTCGTAGACTAATGGTATGATGTCGGCAATGGTGTAAAACTTCACAAGTACAGACACACTGCAAATGTTTGTATACATATCACCAAAACATTCTGTAAACACAAAACTGAGAAATAAGTAAAGCAGATAAGCGTTACCTTGAAGAGGTTCAGTGAGGGATCAAACACCTTGGTGATGGTTTCCTCCAGGAATTCCTTGAACACTCCGTCCTGGTCTATACCCGCCTCGTCTAGTCCCTGTTTATAATGATACCACACAACCAATCATCAGCACACAAGGGTTATTCTGGTAGAAAGGGATTGCTCAATCATACAAGTGTATTATGTGCATGATATCATCAAATCAATTTTAGTTGTGTTTTTGTGACAAAATGTTTTCTGAACATTTCTTGGAAACAATTAAATCCCTTCTGCGTAAATGAAATAATATTTACATCTACATTCTCTCACCGTAATACATAGAGAATGTAATACGTGTTACGAGACTAGAACACCATATGGTCATGCATTGCTAGCATATAACACCTTGGGCAGGAGTTTATCAACTTTGTCAGTAATAGCAATGTATATATGTAATAGGATCACATCACCGCTAAAACATCCATTGCCTAAATGAAGGTGACCTTTGTATACGGTTATCTCACCTGTTCGTTGATGACCATGACCTAGAGGTCAATAACCTCCTCTTTATTAGAGACCTAGTCCTGGACATCAACTGATGATTACCTGCCTAATATACTCATCACCTTACCTGTTCATTGATGACCATGACCTAGAGGTCAATAACCTCCTCTTTATTAGAGACCTAGTCCTGGACATCGAGTGATGATTACCCGTCTAATCAACTCATCACCTTACCTGTTCGTTGATGACCATGTCCTAGAGGTCAATAACCTCCTCTTTATTAGAGACCTAGTCCTGGACATCGAGTGATGATTACCCGTCTAACCAACTCATCACCTTACCTGTTTGTTGATGACCATGACCTAGAGGTCAATAACCTCCTCTTTATTAGAGACCTGGTCCTGGACATCGAGTGATGATTACCCGTTTAATCAACTCATCACCTTACCTGTTTGTTGATGACCATGACCTAGAGGGCAATAACCTCCTCTTTATTAGAGACCTAGTCCTGGACATCGAGTGATGATTACCTGTCTAACCAACTCATCACCTTACCTGTTCGTTGATGAACTTGACCCTGATGACCCCCTTCATAGCTCTCGCAGGTAACTGGGCCAGCTGTCTGTAGCCATCCTATCAACAAGATCATTAGTAACAACTGTAATCAAAGCCTAAATACACCAATACAATATTCAGAAATACTATAGCAACACTAAACAGTAAATTTGAGTAAACAGTGCTTTGGGAGGCTTTCGGCCACCTTGTGGAATAGCTTACCATCTGCTATTAGAAAGTCAAATACCCTGGCAAAAATTCAAGAAGGACATACAAACTCAACTCTTCATGTCTGCATTTTAGGCTCTTTGCACAGATGTCATGTACATACCACCCTTTATTTATTCATTTATGTGCACATTGAGATGATTATCTTCTTGCTTCATGTGTAATTGTGATTGTTTAACAATTATGACTAATACTATTACCCATATGTTGTAAAGCGCTTTAGAGTAATTTTACAAACTATTTAGGGCTCTATACAAATGTTGTATATTACTATTATTATTATTAATAAATTATCCAAGTCACACACAAAATGGACTCGGAAGATTGTGTGGAAGGATATATTACAATCATTAATAGGGTTAGTCCATTGTCACTTATTATGAGAATGTTATCAGTTAGTAGCCTTGGTGATGTTACCTCAACAACACGCCCCCTGTTGATGGTGATTAGAGTAGACTGGGGCGAGGCACATGCTGACTCTGTCAGACCCATCACCTCCTTTTCCTTGGTAACGTTACGCCGGAATATTTTCACCCTCTGTAAAGGATATTTTTTTATTGAAATGTTTCTGATTAAAAATAAAACAATGCCGTCAAACAAGATTTTTTTTTATCGTTACTTAAACCATTTCATACAGAGAAATCTGTAATCTAAAATTAAATTTGGAAGTTAAAAATTAAAGTAACCTGTAGTTATGAAAAAATATTAAGTCAATATTTATAAGTTGTCATAAATACCTACCTAAGACAATGGTGTAATATGATGGACTTTCTGGTTGTCATGACTACCTACCTCTGAGAATGGTATTATGTGTGGGACTTTCTGGTTGTCATGACTACCTACCTCGATCTGAGAATGGTATTATGTGTGGGACTTTCTGGTTGTCATGACTACCTACCTCTGAGAATGGTATTATGTGTGGGGCTTTCTGCATCAAATATACCGCAGTTTTTCTGCCTTTTTCCAATTCACTGATAAAAAGACTGGGCTTCACGTCTCTGTAAATAATCATCATCCATTTATTTCAAAAGCAAACAACACATAGTCCTATTCTGCAAGAGTGGACATTCCTTTTTGAATGAAATCAGTTATAGTTTTTTATTTGTGCCATTTAATATGCAGTTGAACTTTTTAACAAACAAGAATTACGCGTAATTATATGTGTCGCCTGTCCCGCTTTGTTAATAAAAAAGCATTTGACATAGTACATAAGGAAACGGACCTAAATGCAAAATCTTTTAAAGTCCAGAAATTTCAGGTTTTTATCCGAAAAAGTGCAGAAATCCATGAAATGTTTTAGAGTAGTAGGCTCTACTACCCATGATACATGTATGATTGAGGTTTGGTTGGTCTAGCTCTTATACTTTGTCAGAAAGAGCCTAATATGCAAGAGCTAAACGCAAAACCTTAATGTTGAGTTTTTTTCTATGTCCAGAAATTTGAGGTTTTAAGCAAAAAAATACAGAAATCGTTGAAATGCTAGTAAAGAGTGTAATGCATTCAGATATATAAGTCCCATGATACACCTATGACCCAAGTTTGGTTGCTCTAGCATTTATACTTTGTCAGAAACAGACTTAAATGTAAGAGCTAAACGCAAAACCTTAACATTGAGGTTATTTCTAAGTCCAGAAATTTGAGGTTTTTACCAAAAAATGCAGAAATCAATGAAATGTTTTAAGTGCAGTAGGCTCCACTACCCATGCTACATCTATGATCAAGGTTTTGTTGGTGTAGCTTTGTCAGTAACAGAGCTAAACGCAAAACCATAACATTGTTGACGACGATGCCGTCGTCGCCGCCACCGCCACCGTCGCAGTCGCCGTCGCCGGAAAAGCAACGCCTATGTGTCTTTCCAACATCCGTCGTAGGCGACACAAAAACAAAGATTATACCAAACGAAATGAAATGTAAATATATTAATTCTTTACTGCAACACCTTCAACTCTCATTTTTACTGTAAAGTCATTGAATATCTCATTTTTTCTTCTTCTTGAAATAAATAAAACCATCCTGACCTTATCAGCCAATGGTCCTTCTCTGTGTAGGATTTCCGACAGTCTCTCTCATACAGAATCATGAGTAGGACCCGTGCTGCTCCAAACATATCGTTTACACTGGCTGTCTGTATATCTACAACACGTGATAAAGGTCTTCACTACATCAAATAGGATGTTCATGGTTTTCTTAAAATTTGTATCTACGAGTTAAATGTGTTAGGCAAAAGTTTATAAACTATAAGTTAAATGTATCTTAGTCAGACAAGATTTTGTCACAAAATGAGTTACATGTGTTAGATTCAGACATGAGTTTGTTATCTATGAGTTAACTTTACCTCAGATAAGTGTTTGTTACTATGCCCAAGTCAGACAAATGTTTGTTACTATGCCCAAGTCAGACAAGTGTTTGTTACTATGCCTAAGTCAGACAAGTGTTTGTTACTATGCCCAAGTCAGACAAGTGTTTGTTACTATGCCCAAGTCAAACAAGTGTTCAATATCTATGAGTTATCTGTATCAAAGTAAATCAAGTGTTCATTATGAGTTATCTGTATCAGAGTAAATCAAGCGTTCATTATGAGTTATCTGTATCAGAGTAAATCAAGTGCACATTATGAGTTATCTGTATCAGAGTGAATCAAGTGTTCATTATGAGTTATCTGTATCAGAGTAAATCAAGTGTACATTATGAGTTATCTGTATCAGAGTAAATCAAGTGTACATTATGAGTTATCTGTATCAGAGTAAATCAAGTGTACATTATGAGTTATCTGTATCAGAGTAAATCAAGTGTACATTATGAGTTATCTGTATCAGAGTAAATCAAGTGTACATTATGAGTTATCTGTATCAGAGTAAATCAAGTGTACATTATGAGTTATCTGTATCAGAGTAAATCAAGTGTACATTATGAGTTATCTGTATCAGAGTAAATCAAGTGTACATTATGAGTTATCTGTATCAGAGTAAATCAAGTGTACATTATGAGTTATCTGTATCAGAGTAAATCAAGTGTACATTATGAGTTATCTGTATCAGAGTAAATCAAGTGTACATTATGAGTTATCTGTATCAGAGTAAATCAAGTGTACATTATGAGTTATCTGTATCAGAGTAAATCAAGTGTACATTATGAGTTATCTGTATCAGAGTAAATCAAGTGTACATTATGAGTTATCTGTATCAGAGTAAATCAAGTGTACATTATGAGTTATCTGTATCAGAGTAAATCAAGTGTACATTATGAGTTATCTGTATCAGAGTAAATCAAGTGTACATTATGAGTTATCTGTATCAGAGTAAATCAAGTGTACATTATGAGTTATCTGTATCAGAGTAAATCAAGTGTACATTATGAGTTATCTGTATCAGAGTAAATCAAGTGTACATTATGAGTTATCTGTATCAGAGTAAATCAAGTGTACATTATGAGTTATCTGTATCAGAGTAAATCAAGTGTACATTATGAGTTATCTGTATCAGAGTAAATCAAGTGTACATTATGAGTTATCTGTATCAGAGTAAATCAAGTGTACATTATGAGTTATCTGTATCAGAGTAAATCAAGTGTACATTATGAGTTATCTGTATCAGAGTAAATCAAGTGTACATTATGAGTTATCTGTATCAGAGTAAATCAAGTGTACATTATGAGTTATCTGTATCAGAGTAAATCAAGTGTACATTATGAGTTATCTGTATCAGAGTAAATCAAGTGTACATTATGAGTTATCTGTATCAGAGTAAATCAAGTGTACATTATGAGTTATCTGTATCAGAGTAAATCAAGTGTACATTATGAGTTATCTGTATCAGAGTAAATCAAGTGTACATTATGAGTTATCTGTATCAGAGTAAATCAAGTGTACATTATGAGTTATCTGTATCAGAGTAAATCAAGTGTACATTATGAGTTATCTGTATCAGAGTAAATCAAGTGTACATTATGAGTTATCTGTATCAGAGTAAATCAAGTGTACATTATGAGTTATCTGTATCAGAGTAAATCAAGTGTACATTATGAGTTATCTGTATCAGAGTAAATCAAGTGTACATTATGAGTTATCTGTATCAGAGTAAATCAAGTGTACATTATGAGTTATCTGTATCAGAGTAAATCAAGTGTACATTATGAGTTATCTGTATCAGAGTAAATCAAGTGTACATTATGAGTTATCTGTATCAGAGTAAATCAAGTGTACATTATGAGTTATCTGTATCAGAGTAAATCAAGTGTACATTATGAGTTATCTGTATCAGAGTAAATCAAGTGTACATTATGAGTTATCTGTATCAGAGTAAATCAAGTGTACATTATGAGTTATCTGTATCAGAGTAAATCAAGTGTACATTATGAGTTATCTGTATCAGAGTAAATCAAGTGTACATTATGAGTTATCTGTATCAGAGTAAATCAAGTGTACATTATGAGTTATCTGTATCAGAGTAAATCAAGTGTACATTATGAGTTATCTGTATCAGAGTAAATCAAGTGTACATTATGAGTTATCTGTATCAGAGTAAATCAAGTGTACATTATGAGTTATCTGTATCAGAGTAAATCAAGTGTACATTATGAGTTATCTGTATCAGAGTAAATCAAGTGTACATTATGAGTTATCTGTATCAGAGTAAATCAAGTGTACATTATGAGTTATCTGTATCAGAGTAAATCAAGTGTACATTATGAGTTATCTGTATCAGAGTAAATCAAGTGTACATTATGAGTTATCTGTATCAGAGTAAATCAAGTGTACATTATGAGTTATCTGTATCAGAGTAAATCAAGTGTACATTATGAGTTATCTGTATCAGAGTAAATCAAGTGTACATTATGAGTTATCTGTATCAGAGTAAATCAAGTGTACATTATGAGTTATCTGTATCAGAGTAAATCAAGTGTACATTATGAGTTATCTGTATCAGAGTAAATCAAGTGTACATTATGAGTTATCTGTATCAGAGTAAATCAAGTGTACATTATGAGTTATCTGTATCAGAGTAAATCAAGTGTACATTATGAGTTATCTGTATCAGAGTAAATCAAGTGTACATTATGAGTTATCTGTATCAGAGTAAATAAAGTGTACATTATGAGTTATCTGTATCAGAGTAAATCAAGTGTACATTATGAGTTATCTGTATCAAGAGTAAATCAAGTGTACATTATGAGTTATCTGTATCAGAGTAAATCAAGTGTACATTATGTGTTATCTGTAAATCAAGTGTTAAATACCTATGTTCTAGTTATGCCTGAGTCAGACAAGCCTCTGTTTCCTGTGATGTAACTACATATAGCTCAGTAAAATAATAATTTGTTGCCTCTGAGTTTTGTATGTCTTAGTCAGCAAGTGTTTGTTACCTCTGAGTTATCTATGTCAGAGTCAGCCAAGTGTTTGTTACATCTCAGTTAACTATGTCTTAGTCAGCTAAGTGTTTGTTACCTCTGAGCTAACTATGTCTGAGTCAGCCAAGTGTTTGTTACCTTTGAGTTAACTATGTCTTAGTCAGCTAAGTGTTTGTTACATCTGAGTTAACTATGTCTGAGTCAGCTAAGTGTTTGTTACCTCTGAGGTAACTATGTCAGAGTCAGCTAAGTGTTTGTTACCTCTGAGGTAACTATGTCAGAGTCAGCTAAGTGTTTGTTACCTCTGAGCCAACTATGTCTGAGTCAGCTAAGTGTTTGTTACCTCTGAGTTAACTTCGTCATATATAGTTGACAAGTGTTTGCTACCTTTCAGTTGACTATGTCGGAGTCAGATGATAAAGTGTTACTTACGTGATAAATGTGTTTAGTCAAACAAGGAATTTGTTACCTATGAGGTTGTGCCAGATGAGGCGAAACACAAACAGGTTGAGGAATTCACTCATCTGCATGTAGTCCATAGGTTTGAATATCTTCTGTTGTTCATACATCTCTATGTCATCTAAAGTCCTGAAAACCATACCAAACACTTTCTGATGAAATCAATATTCTACAGATTTATAGAGTCTAATTATCATTTATTGACACCATGTCAAAATGACAAGGAACCTTTCTGCTTTTTTTCCCAAGCATCAAGTTTTTTTATTGCTAGTCTAAAAGTAAAACCCCATATATGTATTTCTTGAATAACTGTTATGAATACATTGTGATTATTGTTTGTTTATTAATTACAAGAAATCCCAAACACTTACGTGATATAGTGACTGGCAGCCTCACAGAACACTGTGAGTAGACTAAACACAGGGTGAATGGTGGAGTTTGGCGCCTGACTAAGAAGCTCCACGAATGTCTTGAGCCCACAATTGGGACCCATGTCACGTAAGAACTTCCACAGGATTGGGAGTAGTACGTCATTATAACTCAGTCCTCCAAGGATGTCCAGTCGCAGCTGTGATAACGTGTTGATAGTTGTCTGATAAAGGACACATGGCAGACATGTTGACATCGCTATGGAACTCTCCAGCTTTATCTTCGTAGAAGATTTAGAAGAGGAGGCTTTGTCTAAAACTCGCAGTACTATATCTAGAACAAGAACAAGTTCACAAGGTGAGTTCCTTTTCCTACTCTGTTTATGGTCAAATAAATATAGTAAGGGGAGAGAACTCTGGTAAAAAAGACAAGCAGGATGAGCAAAATATTTTTATTTCATTGAAGATTTTATGTTAATTTGACTTTAAACCATGTATGTGCCATAATCTAGCCAATGACAGGTCACAAAACATGAGGCAGATGAAATATTTATAGGGAAGTAATTTTTTCCCTATTTCCAGAGGTTTTGTCAATATGTAAATTCCCCAGAAACATAAAAGGGAGGAGGACTAACTTTTGGATGGTGTAGAAGACTTGCTGGTCTGTTTCTGTGTGTCCACCTCGACGTATGTAATGAGTTCTAGGAACAGCAGACGTATCATCTTCTCACACCACAACAGCTGTAGCTGCTTCACGACGTACGGCATCGCCGCGTGGAGGCTGCAAACATCAACTTCACCAATTAACATGTGCAACTTAAACAAATAGAGGAATTATTCATCCCATCTTGAAACAAGAATAAGAAATGAAAAATTGTAACCTTGGGAAGTGCTTAACTATGTTCAGATTCTGATTCCGAGTGATTTTATCGAAGTTTTATATATACAAGATGGACATAAGAACAGAAAAACTCTGCAATACAGGAATGGACATAACTTACCACTGATCGGTGTTCTGTGAAAACCAGCCAAGGACTGGATGCCAGTGGGTCAGGTTGGACTTCTTGTTCTGAACATACAGCTTACAACTCTCCAACAAACGGATCACAACCATCTGTAGCACACAAACAGGTAGGAGTATTATAACTTCAATTACCGTCCAAAATTATAGTACTGACGTTAGGAGATGTTTCTTTGTGGAAATCAAGGATCTGATATCTTTGGCTAATCAGGAAATTTGAGGGAATCAAGGAATATCTTTAAAAGATATGAATGACAGAGTTTCTATGTTACAAGTCTGCCATCTATAGCTGTGCACCATTTTTTTTTGCTTTAAACATCTTAACAGATTGAGGAGCATTAAACAAATTGACAATATCAACAAAAGATTAAAAGGGAGGTAACTCAATTTAAAAGTGTGTGTATGCATTACAGCTTAAGCCTGCTACATACCCATGTATCTAAAAACAAATTCAACATTTATAGTGTAACTGTTTTTAACTAAGCAAAAAAAACCAGTATCTAATATATTGTTTGAGTTAATTGATGTGATGGATTCCCAAAACATTCATAACTGGCTCTACTGATAAACCAGCTAAATCTTAGTAGGCTAAGGATTGAAATCACTTATAACAGAAGAAAACTCCCTGATATGGGAAAAAACTTCTTGTCCGACATGTAATAAACCTCGAATTTATCTACTTACCATGAAGCTCAATGTATTCTCAACCAGACCCTGTAATATAGAAATAGTCGAGGCATTTTATAATATCAAAGATCACACAAAGTCAATATCCAATGAACAAATTTGTTTTTATCTAATATATCATTTTTTTTTTTATAAATCTGACACACAAACTTCTTTAATACATCATTGTATGATAATTATCACAACTTCAGGAGTTCTATAC